CAACTTGGAATTCTAGCATGAATTTCTTCTTTTTGGCAGTACAAGTCTCAACAGTGTTTCTCTCTCCAAAAGAGCCTAATTTTCATCAACATTAAAAATGTGCTGACTACAATAGTCCCCTAATCAATGATTTCAGTCAATGTCTTTTGAAAAAAAGCACAACTTACATTCTCATCAGTACTGACAGCTTCACAAACAAGAAGCAGCAAATTACCCAGGGCTACAAAATGCATTAACTACCTCCTACTTGTATAAAAAGGATACACTATCTTTCTATTATTTTAAAGTAAGACACCTTTTTCCTAGGAAACAGGGTATAACAAATAGAGCATTGATTTTTATACCCAGAAGACCCAGCTTGAAATCAAAACTATGCTTCATAGCTAGGTGTCTTTGGTCTTGCCATTAATGCATTAAAACATTGTTTACTTCCTACATACCAGGCTTTGACACCCCAAAGATGAGTAAGACATATTCCCGCTCTCTAGTGAGATAGAGACACCCAAAGAGAAATATAATGTAAGCTTGTAAAGTACAGAGGCAGGATTGGAGCTCCTCTGAAAAGCAGCACTTAACCCAGCTTGACATTCTAAGGAAGGCTTCCTTGAGCTATATCTAATATGAATCTTAAAGGAAAAATGGATAGGAGAAAAGCATTTAGAGGTAGAGTAAAAAGATAAGGAAGGGCATTCCAGGCAGAAGAGTTTGCATGAGCAAATGCTTAGAGGCAAGACATAACATAATATATGAAAATGATAAATAATTCAGTGTTTCAGACTGCAAATTAGGAATGACAAGTTCAAATACCCAGTCAAGTTCATTCATTCAACCAAAACCTACCTCTATGCCTCAGACAAATGATTTAGAACTTGGCATAAGAGAACAAATCAGATAAAAATTCAGAAAGAGAAGGGATTAAGAATATAAATGCAGAAGGCTTTCCTATATAGGTGGTATTTAAAAGTCATAAGACTTGATGATATCATCAAAAGAAGGTATAGACAGGAAAAAAAGAGAACAAAAGACTGAACCCTAGAGTACTTCCACACTAAAGAATTAAGACTAGAAGGTTCCAACAAAGGAGAATGAGAAGGTGCAACCAAAGAGGTAGAAGGAAAACCAAGAGTGTATTGTGTACTGGAAATCAAGTGAGGAAAATATATCATGGCGAAGGGAGTGATTAACTGTGTCCAAGGTTACTGGTAGGTCAAATATGATGAGAAGTGAGAATGATCAACACCCCTAGAGATCACTGGTGACACTAACAAGAGCAACTTGGTGCAGTGTGGGAGCAATAGTCATGTTAGAGTAAGCTTAAGAAAGAATAGAAAAAGAGGAATTGGGACATGGAGCATAGAGAACTCTTCAGAGGATTTCTGTTGCAGAGAAGAGCAATTAAATGGAGTTGATAATGGAGAAAGATTAAGGGGAGCATTTCTTAAGATGAAAGGAAATACACATAGATCAAACAAAATTCTTTTTCTTGTTGCAACTTTTTTTAAAATAAATTTTATTATGTATATTTGAGGTTTACAACATGACATTATGGGATACATATAGATAGTAAAATAGTTACTTCAGTGAGTAGATTAAGATCCATCATCTCACATAGTTACTATTTTTGTGACAAGAACAGCTAAAAATCTACTTCTTTAACAAAAATCCCTAACACAGTACAATTTCATTAACTTTAGTCCCCATGTTGTACATTTAGGTCTTACATGAAAAGCCTTGGGAGAAGAGAATGAAAAAAGAGGGAAAAGAAAAAAAAGGGCAAACACTAGACACAAAGAACCTCAACATCAAGCTAGGGAGGCTAGTCAAGGATCAGAGAAAATAAGCAGAACCATTGTCTTTTAATATATGTGAATAAAAGTGAATGAAGAGAGATAAGTAATGTAAAAGGAACCATCAACACTATCATTAATACTTACTAGACACAAAGTAAAAAGAGAAAATGGGGAGAAACTGGTCTGGTGGGATAAATGCAATAACAATTTAATTCAAAAACCTTTTACAGTAGTCCACCCCTCATCTGAGTGTGATGTGTTCCAATACTTCCAGCAGAGGCCTGAAACTGCAGATACTACTGAATCCAATTGCTGTCAATCAGAACATGTTTCTGTTCATGTGTTGCACCCACAAATTTAATGCCTTCATCTTAACTAAGCACTTATCGCACACTGTGGGCATAACTTTCACAGTTCAAGCTGAAACAGCAAAACTAGCACTAATTTCTTTTTCCTTCGTCACAATTTCATAGACAGAAGATGTATTCTTACCATAGATGTTATCAGCCTTAACATATAATTTTTTTCTCCTCCGTTAAGTCGAGAACTTTCACCTTTTCACTTAAAGGAAGCACTTGACAGCTTCTTTTTGGCATATCCAAATTACTAGCATCATGACTCTTGCCCTCTCGGGACATTATTAAGTAAAATAAGGATTACTTGAATATAAGCACTATGATACCTCTGCAGTGGATCTGATAACCAAGCCAGCTACTACATGACTAACAGGCGGGCAGTATATACAGCAGGGATATGCTGGATAAAAGGATGATTCACTACCCCAACAGGATGGGGTGGCACGGTGCAAGATTTTGTCACTACTCAGAATGGCACACCATTTAAAACTTATGAGTTATTTCTGGAATTTTCCATTTAATATTTTCAGACCATGGTTGATGGAACAGAAAATGTGCAAATCAAAACCTCGGATGAGGGGCAACTACTGTACTTAATGCCTAATGCATGCAAGTCAATCATTCCTCCACTATAATCCCTCCTCTCTGGGGACTTTTAATTTAGTGAAGGAGAAAGCAATGCACACAATAATAGTCAACACTTTCTGAGTCCTTGCTGTATGCCAAACATTTAGTTAGATGATTACTTGTATTAAGTCATTTAATACTCACAATACTGAGAAATTTGTGTACTCATTCCACATAAAAATATAAATATCCACTATATTTACATACAGTTCTAAAAATCCATGAAACCAAAATTGGAAATATTCTTCTACATGCAAGAGAGATGATAATTTTTGAATAAAGAAATGACATAGTCAAATTTTATTTTTAGTAAGAAAATGATCCAAGATGGTTTAAAATGAGAATCCACAACAGAGCTATCAGAAAGAAGACTTTTGAAATAGCAATATAACATAATACTTAAACTAGTTCACTATCAATGAAAACCAAAAGCAGGGGGTTTATGTGTTAACAACCATGCAGCTCAACTACCACCTGTCCCCAAATCTCACTACATGTCAGATTAACTTTATTTGATGTTTTACAAGAATACAATAAACATTACACATATATATGTTCAGCCTCGTATATTGGCACTTGTGTTTCTCTATGGATAACTTAAAAATAACTGGAAAACATTGTTTTCTACTATTTTGAAGCTCAGGTACATAAGAAGCCACAGCCTAATATTGGTTATAATCCATACATATACTAAATCAATTAGGATCTCTAACAGCTTCAGCTTCCTGATCTTCTTCACAGGTAGCCTGAAGCACAGCTTCAGACAGAAGTATTATTCTGAAGTGTCACAAAGGATCAAGACAATCTTCACATGAAAGCAAAGGTAGTTATAATGTCTACAGACATATTTATTACTCTAGAAGCCAAGCTTGATAAATTGTACAACATAACTTCTGTAACTAAACCATGTTTGTTTAATTTGAATGGCAAAACTTACAAGGTATAATGTAAGGCAAGTACAAGAGAGCTGATTAAATGACTTGTTTTTTTCAATAAGTGTAGAATACTGTATATTTTTATACATTTTTTATTCCACTCTTCCCCATCCCCATTAAAGTCCTTAAAGGAATAGACTAAATGGACTATAATGGACTAAAAATTCAAGTTAGTTATGGTTTAAAACAAAACCAAACCTTTGTGTGCAGTAGTTAACATTGTAAACACAAGCAGCAAAATCCCAAATCTTCTCATCATTGCGTTGCCCTATAGAAAGGTCTGAGTTTGGCCGAATACAACTCACCAACCAACACTTCACATGAGTTACCTTCCCTTTCTCTCTATCCATCTTCTGAGTCAATAAAGCAATAAAAACTTGATGACATTGTGAAAAGAACCTTCTGCTGTCTGAGAGAAAATAAAACACACATTTGGAGCCAAACGGTTGCTATAATTTTCTGATCCACTTAAAGAAGTAAAGAGTGGAATACTCTGACTTCTGAAAAATTCCAAGAACTATGCAAGCTCAAACACATCAAAGTGCCTATTTCTCCCTCTATAAAATGCAGAAAGAAAAACTAGGGGGCTCGTGCTATAAAATGCAGAAAGAAAAACTAGGGGGCTCGTGCGGCGGTGGGGGCATAGATAGAACCTCACTTAACGGGATTATTAAAATTAGAAAAAGCTAAATACTATTTCTACTGATTCAAAGTAAAAGTTGGCTTGTCATTAGTTTTGCTGGTTGATCATTTCTCTAGGGTAGCTAATCAATTGCTGCACTCCTGAAAAGACAGTTCCTTTCCACTGATTACCACAGAAAGTTATTTCCTGAGTCCAAAGGGCCTAGTATGTTTCAGCCCCAGGTGGAAGCCACTGACAGTTTCCCAGAAGCTGAGGACTGGACGAAGAGAAAGCTGATGTTGGGGAAATGATCAAACAACCTACTCAACACAACCCTCTGGATTCAATTGTCCTCCTAATCCCGCAACCAATACAGAGCATTTCAACAGTACTTTGCAGTCCCAAGAATCCCTCAGGTGCAACGGCACAAGCTAAAAAATGGGGTTCAACAGGTGAATGCCCTGTGAATGATGCCGGGGAACCCTAGCATCCCCAATAGCCCACAGGCATAAGGGTCACACATTGAGGAGGATTCTCGCACTGTGGAATTCTAGAGGTAAATAACAGGGTATTCAAAAAAGAAAAAGAAAGAAAATAGAAAAAAAAATTAAAAGAACAGGACAACAGATAACTATTATTTAAAGAGACAGCCCCGACTTCCGGACCCTACCTCCCCGAGATTCCACTTCCGGTGTCCTCTCCGAAAGGCCCGCTTTCGCAAATTAAACGTCCGCAGCCAATAAGAGTGTCAGCTGCTTCCGCAGACCCGCAGGGAGTCTACTAAATCCCGCCTTTTCCGGTAGAGAGGAGCCTATCCTAGCGTCTGAGTATCGCGGCTCGGGCGGAGGTGCTGTGGTGAGTCCAACCGTACCGGAGGAGAGGGCGAGAAGAGCAGGCGGTGTGTGCACGCCTCTTCCGCCCTGGGCCCGGAAGGGTGATGTGGCTGGGGCATCGCCGGCCTCACTATGGTAAGAACTGGGGATGCCGGGTTATAGCTGAGCTTCGAGAAGCAGTTGTGGGCCCGGACTAGCGCTGAGGGGTTGTGCGGCGGCCCGGGGAGCGCGGGCTAGGAAGCTCTCTCAGTAACTTGGCTCTCGCGGCGATCAGAGCTTGCACGGGCCGTGTAGCCATGTGGTCCCTGCACGCCTAACCAGGGAGACTCTGGGCCGACGGTCCAAGGAAGACCGCGAGGTTGCGGAGCCCGGCTTCTCCCGCAGAGGCCACTTTCCTGCTTTGTTTAGAAGAAATGCACTGGTGTAGCCTAATCCGTCGGTTACATAGATTGGCTGTGGCCATAGACCCTTAAGGCATTAGAGCTTCTCGGGTTTCCACTGTTTGTGTTTTTTGTTTGTTTGTTGCGTTTTCTTAAGTCGCCCTGTGGGGCTTGACCCAGCATTATTTAATTGTTCTGTTCTTTTTTTTTTTTTTGGCACCAAGCTCCATACCCTCATCTTAACTTTTAGAATCAATGGCCTTTTCAGGCCCTTCCTACGTCATTCTCTGAACCTGAAAGATGCTACTTTGCAAACTACAGGTTTTAATAGTTGGAGTTCTCTGCACCGGTGGGCTTCTTTTTAGGAGCTTTATATACTTCTCAGAGTGGTGTCTAGCCTTGGGCCTTTCTCCCCTTCTATTTCCCCATTATTCAGGTTTTGTGTGTGCATGTGTTATTTTGTATTATTGCAGGTTCCTTTGATAGTTTAGACGTCTCATAAAAGCTTGAACTGTAAGTCACGAAAGTTAGCAAAAGAAATACTTACATTTCCAAGCTAAGAAAAAGAAGTAAAGCCAGTGTGGCCAAGGAGCAGTTGTAAAGTTGGTAGTAATAATAAAATCCCCAAATCTGTGTCTGAAGGCATTTTACCTTTGTTATGGTAAATGCCAACTGCCTCTACTCTAGGCCCTCAAAGTGAATTTATGAAGTCCCCATGCCGAATGTTGCACATATTTCTGGGGAAAGGATGCATGCCTGTTACAGTCTCCAAATCTGCTGTGATTCCCACCCCCTGCCGCAAAAGCTAAGAATATCCATGGTGGAAAATTACTGAGTTTGTGTTCTCAGAAATTGCTGCAGAATCCCATACAGCACACAACCCTTAAACGTTTAATCAAAAACTCATTAATCGTTGCCTGCTTTATGCCAGCTTCTTTGATTATGGCTGGGGCGTAAGTCACAGTCTCTTCCCTGAACAAGTTTACCACCAGATAGAGGAAATAGCAGTTTATTGGCACATTATTCCTTCCCTGGCTAAGGATATTCTTTTTTAGCTTCTTTCCCCACCTACCTACCACAGGATAGGATACATCTGCGCTTAAGAGTGTCGTTAATGAGCTGTAATTTAACTTAGAAAATTTGCTCCTTTTTCAATTGAAAAAGAGTAGGAAGACAGGACTGTCACTCTTGATACTTACATACCTTTCTAAAAGCTGAAGCTGAATTATTTTACTCATAGTACTAGTCAAAGATAAAGTCTGTTTATCATCTTGCTGTCATATGGACTGGCTAAAAGCAAGATGTATATCTTCCTTAAGATCAACAGTATTTAAACTGTCTTACCATGCCTGTTTTTCCAAAAGTAACAAAAGGTTTCACTTATTAGCACTTCCTATGTACCATGCTCTGTTGAAAAGAATAATTTTATAAGCACTGTCTTATTTCAAGCTTACAAGCTTCTGACTAGACGTTTATAGGTGAAGGAAGTGTAGCACAAGGAAACTGACTTGCCTGGGATCATAACCCCTAGTAGGTAGTGAAGCCAGGTTTCAAACTTATTTTAGGGTCCAGATGCCAGAAATCTTCATGCTGTTGTCAGTAGTAACCCAATATAAGTGAGGATATCTTAGTGATTTGTTGCCCTCAAATATAAGTATGTCAGTCAGACGTGGGTGGATATTAGATACAACTGCCAGGTTATTAAGTTTTCATTCCTACTTTGTTCCTGTGAGTTTTAGATGTCAAAAGTACATTGTGGTTGGCAGAGCTACACAGTGAAGTTTCAAAAAGGCTACATTAGCAATTAAAAAATGGACTGCTGTCTCAGTATCTTTTTGAGTTTGTACCTACACTTAGTTTATTTGTGAGAGAACCTAGTGATAATGATTTAATAATCTAAATTACTGTACTTTAATGAATCCATTTTTCAAAAGCATTTCAAGAACAAAAATGTTTATCAGTAATAATCTACAACTGTCAGCATAAACAGTAATTGCATCACTTATGAATTAATACTTTTAAAGAATTTCAGAATGCCTTAGGCCAGGTGCAGTGGCTCACACCTGTAATCCTAGCACTCTGGGAGGCCAAGGCAGGAGGATTGTTTGAGTTTAGGAGTTTGAGACCAACCTGAGCAAGAGCAAGACCCTGGGTCTACTAAAAATAGAAAAAAATTAGCCTGGAATCTTGGCACCTGTAGTCCCAGCTACTCAGGAGGCTGAAGCAGGAGGATCGCTTGAGCCCAGGAGTTCAAGGTTGCAGTGAGCTATGATGATGCCACTGCACTCTACCCAGGGCAACAGAGTGAGACTCTGTCTGTTCTACAAGGTTCCCAGAAAAAAAAAAAAAAAAGAGACTCTGTCTCAAAGGAAAAAAAAAAAAAAAGAATGCCTTGTTTTCCCCAACTCCTAAAATCCTTCGGGATTCAGCTCGAGTATCATCTCTTTCCAAGAAGCCTTCCCTGACCCCTTCTATTTTCTTCTACTCTGTTTAGGTAGCTATATGGGCATCCCTAGTCAATGTGTATATCTCCAGTATCCCTCTAGCAGAGCACTTACCACAGGAAACATCAATATGGTGTTGCTTATACTTCTCCCTCTGTAGGTGCAGTTCTTAAAGACAAAGTCTTTTAATCTCTACATCAACAATGCCCATTAGAGTTAGTACTCAAGATGAATGAGATTCTGCAGATAGAAACGTGCTCAGTGTCTTCATGGACTTCACAGTCTAATGGGGGAGATTATTAAATAAGTAATTCTCATGTGTTGCTGAGACAACATGTGTAGTGGAAAGAGCTTGGGCTTTAGAAGGAGCCAAACAGGGTTAGAATCATTACCAGTTTCCATGCTTTACTTGGTTAACCATGAGGAAGTTGATTTTCATGTCTTCTTGATGTGTTAGGTGATTTACAGATATTCTCATTTAATGCTCACAAACCCTGCAAAGTTGAAGTTATTGTCCACGTTTTATAATTAAACAGAGTATCAGAAAAGGTGTGAAATATTTTCTTTCATCTTGTAGCAAAAATACGTAGAAAATTATGAGGAAGGAGTAATTCTGGCTGGGTGCTGGAGAGACATCCCCAAGGAAGTAACACTAACTTGTATGTTAAAGAATCAGTATTAGGGCAGGAGTCATTAGCCAGAGCCGGGACAGCATCTCTATTTTTTAGGTAAAGGAAATGGGAGGAAACAAAAGGCATGAAGTTACATGGTTGCTTGGGGACTCATTGTGGCAGGAATAGAAAGAGGTTCGGTAGAGCAGAATGGTGAGAGGCGAGGCTAGAAGGAAAGAGTAGGACCAGATCTAGAAGAGCTTTGGGCCACACCAAGGACTTTATATTTTGATGATGTTTAATTGCTTACTTGATAAAGGCTTTGGAGCAGGGAAATATAGGTGTGCATTTTAGAAAACCAGCTGGTAACAGCATGGACAGTATATTTAAATGGAGAAGGAATCTGGAAGACCAGCTTGAAAACAAGTGCAGTAAACCAAGTAGTAGATAATGAACCAGGGAGTCAGAATACCTCAGCTCTTGACAATAACAGGTTGGAAGGAAAGGATAATGAGGAAAATCATTTTGAGGTGCTTAGTGAGGGGTGATGAAGCACCACTCCAGCTTGTATGATTGACTAGATAGAAAGGAAATATAGCAGGTCCTGGAGTAACGTTGATGAGGAAAAAATTCAAATCCCAATCAAGGCCACTTTGTGGAGTTTGCGCGTTCTCCCCATGTCTGCTTGGGTTTTCTCCAGGTACTCTGGTTTCCTCCCGCATCCCAAAAATGTGCAGGTTAGGTTCATTGGCGTGTCTGTGGTCCCAATGTGAGGGAGTGGAGATGCCTGTGTGAGTGCACCCTGCAGTTGGATGGCATCCTGGCTAGGGCTGGTGCTTGCCCCGGCCCTGAGCTTCTGGGATAAGCCATTGGGCGACCCTGAACTGGAATAAGTGGATGAATAATCTTATTAATTTTTTAGTCTTATTAATTTTCTTAAATGTATATATAGCTCACATTTATTTCAGTGTTTAATATTAGGTGTGTTTTGGTCTTTGTTTAGAAGTTTGGTGATATTTTTGTGACCAGAAATAGGCCCTAGGAACTTAACTCTTGTTTATATCAATTAGCCTATGATAAAATGTGTTTAATTATACATTGTTTGGCTTAAAGTTGCCATTTCCAAGAACCTGTGGATGACAGTTAGTGAGGACTTACTATATTGCTTAAGTACCTACTCTGATAGGTGCTTTACATACAAGGTTTTGTTAAAGACTTATATTTATTGGCTACATTTCATATGTGAAGAAACAGATGCTAAGTGACTTGCCCAAGATCACACTGCTTATAAATAACAAAGCTACAATTTAAACTTAACAGCTTTGACACCAAATCCTGTGCCCTTTCTCCCATGCAATAACGCTATTAATTCCAAAAAAAAAATTAAAGAGAAAAGGCAAGGTTTATATGCCAAGGGGTGGGAGGTTAAGATAATAATTCTGTTGCTACTAT